TGTTTATTGATTGATTTCGTTTACTTCTATTACCTACTATTGAAAAAAATTAAATTATTTATAAATTAAATTAATTAATTAAAAAGCTTATATATATATATATATATATATATATATATATTTCTATGTTTTAATCCATATATAGTCATATTGAGAAGATATAATTGTATTTTTACATATAATTTAATTATTATTAGACAAATGTTATATTATTAGCTTACAAATTATTTAAACATATGCATATTTATAATTATGATGAAGAAAAAGCATATACGTGTACAATATACAATATTACAAAGTAATTATAATGCGTATAGTTAATTTAATTTATTTTGAGAAATATATAAATAATTAAAAGTTTACTTTATAATTTAAGGATCTTAATTAAGAAAACCATAATAATATTACTTATTTGTGCATTGTCCATTAATTATCGAATAATCATAATATTTAAATATCTATCCTATACATTTTATACAATTTAAAGTAAGTTTATACATTTTAGAAACTGATTTGTTATAAATGTAAAAATAATGTGAAAAGTATTAAAAGGGTATACAGTTTAGTGCTTATTTCATTACGTATGTACTTACACTACAAAAGTAAAATAGAAGCTTAGCACTGTATATGAAAAATTTGTATAAAAGTTATGGTTCCTTTATTCTTCTGTCTCCTAAATATAAATTTAAAAAGTTATAAGCTTAGCATAAGTTGCCCGATAAACTGAATGTTATCTCCCCTCCTCCCCACCTCCCCACCTCCCCACCTCCCCTCCTCCATCCTGCCCATCTTTCTATCCTGTTTCGCTAACGCAACAAAATTTCTGGAATAGTACAAAAAGCGAAGGAAAGTCACTTTAAGACTTGTAAGACTAATGAAGATCCTTGAAAAGCAGAGCATCCTTGCACGATAGCGAATCGATTGAGTTACGCTTTTAATGCGTAGTAAAGTAGTATTAGTCTGTATCTTTGTATTATTTATTGTAAAATGGACGATTAACGCATGACTCGTAAAAATGGGATTATAATCAATTTTGTATGGGAAATTGAGGGAGTGGTGAAAATTTTTCATTCCTTCTTTTTATCGTGCGAAAGCACATTTTCCAGTGAAACAAGCATGAATTATCGTTGCCGTAAACCAATAACTTGTAACAGATTTTTCATAGTTATAGTTATCAGCATTGCAAGAAAGTTTAATTTTTTCATCCAAGCAAATATTAGATTATGATAGTCGAATGTTCATTAATCATATTTTGAATGAATGGATTGTCCTGAGAATGTAATTTTTTATGTTCATTATGTTCAGAATCTCTTTCATTTATAATTTCTCTAATAATTAAATGCGAAATATAAATTTTTGTATTATCATCATAAAAATATTTATCCATCCTTTATTATAGATTATATAAAAATTTTTTCACATCGGCTTTTAAATATCATTTGTCCAATTGAATCATATAGTTCATAAATAATGCAAGGAATGCTGCATAAAAATTAAATATTGCGTAAGTAGGTTGAGTTTTATTTTTTTTTTTTGAATTTTCATAAAATTTCTATACTTTTGCACCATAGCATAGCATTTAGAATTTGTATTCTAAAAATCATTATTATTTTAATTGATTATTGTGAATATATCGATGAAAATATAATATGATAGCTGGAATTTCATTGTAAAAATTGTAATAAATGTTGAAATTAAATATTTATTATATTAGAATTAAAAATTATTAGATAATGTAGTAAATATAAAATTTAAATTATTTTACTTATCGTCAAAGTCTTGTTCTATTTATTATCTTAAGAAGTTTCTACAAATATTCAATAAGACGAATAAATAATTTCTTTCAAATACAGTTACAATTGTCTAAATATTTTTTTAACATTATTTTCTTATACAAATCGATGAGTTATTTTTATTAATATTTATTCAAGTTGATGGTAAATTTATTGATACGCATAATTACTTTATTGTGCGTTTTAGCAAAATTGCAAACGCAATATTAATTAAAACTGTAAAATTTTAATAAGATTTTTATCACCATAATAAGTGAAATTGTATAAAAGTGAGATAAATTATATTTTGTGACTCATAATTCATATAAAAGTAATAAAGTTTTGTGGAGAACAAACTCGAAGCTATAGAATTTGAATTTCTAGGAAGAATTTTGTTTAGAAAAAATCGATACATTGTTATTTTTAGATGAAAATTGACACTATTTTAAAGTATATAATAAAATCAACATATTAATTATATTAATAAACTACTATTTTTACCATTCACATTTTTGGAAATATCAATTTTATTAAATATAGTTTTAACAACAATTGAATTGGACTGCATGAATTTCAAAGTCTTACAATTATATTACAAATGTTTGGAATACTCATTACTTTTACTTTTTATTTTTATGAATATATATATATGTATATGTGCGAGCGCGTGTAGGTAATTACATATGCATGTTTGTATGTGTGTATTTATGTGCGGATGGATGTACGTTAAATGCGAATGCTTTTGAATGGAGAGTATAACAATTGGAATATTTAATATTGTCACGGGACTATGAGCGCCATTGGAGAGAAGAATGATGTTGCTCGAAGTTGTCAATGTATTAGAAATTTACCGTGTACGAATCAGGCTTTTACAATTGATTCTTTATCTTTATCATTCGTTAAAAGTTCCATCCATAAGTGGAGAGGGCTGTCGAAGTTGTTCCTTTTTTTCTTCTTCTTCTTTTTTCTTTTTTTTTCTTTTTTTTTTTTTTTTAACCATATAGTTGTTGTTGATGTTTTTTCGAGAGGAAGTTGGCACGCGTTAGTTTGTCTATCCGATCTTTTATGTATTAGTGAGGTAATTTGAGAAAACTCGATATTTTTAAATTGATTGTATTCGTGATGTTTTCGTGGCAGCTGCTCGAACGTATATTTCAAAATTTCTTTTTACTTGAGTTCTAGTAATTTTTATCATATTATTAAAGAACTTTTTATTATTTTATTGAAGAACATTTCTTATTGTTATATATTTGATTTAATGAGATTTAACGTGTAAATGTGAGATTAATAAAATTTAATGTATCATTTGCCTTTTACAAATATTATATGAATGCGTTTCTGCTCGTAAAACATTTAAAAACATCCTGATTGTTTCAAATAAAAATATTTATTATTTTAATTGACGAGGTGGTGGTTAGTTAAAAATTATTTTGAACATATGTGCATTAATGTCTTTCAAATTGATTTAAATATCTATTACAATTTAATGTAATATATTAATTATATTAATTAATATAATAAATTTATTTAATGGATAATCTAATTTATCCTCCTAACTCTTTATTGACGTATTATCTCCTATTATTATACGTTTTATGTTTTTAATTGTACATTTTAACGAAGATTCATCTCAGAATTCACTCAATGTACTTTTGTTATTATAATACAATTAATAACACGAGCATGCGAATTAAAATATTTGTAAATTAATTATCCATTAAATTGAAAAATAATAATATTTGATATTGACATATTAAAAAATGCCAAAAATTTCAGAATGACTCCTATGTGATATTCAATTTTTATAATAAAGAAGCATGGTTTTTTGTGGTCTTAATTGGAGTCGATAAACAACTACAAATCATTGATAGCAGTCGATGTATACAGCTTAACACCACTGATGATTTATTAGTACTAATCGTTTGACATAAAAGTATAAATGCATTTGATTTTGATGCAGTAGAAAAGAATTTTATGCTTGATAACTTTATTTATTCTAGCAGTTTTCGAGAATATCATATTTTTGCCCAAAAGACTATTACAAAACGAAGGTAGAATGGTAGTTTAGATGCTTGTAAAAATAAAAAAATAGATAAAGATATTTAAATCGAGCTAAAATATACATAACTATTTCTATACAAATAATAATACGGAGAATATTGTAAATAGTCAGTTTTTAAAGTCTAGATCAATAATATTCACGTCGCCTGAATGGAACGAAGGCTTTACTTAAGAATGCCTAAATCAAGATAAAGAAAAATGTTCTATGTAGATCTATAAATATATAAATAAAGATATAGATGATGTGTCGAATGCAGAGACATAGAAAGCAGCCTGGAAAAGTATGTTTATCGGAGAGAATTTGGAGCGTCAATTATTATTGGCTTTGTTCTTTAAATATTTTTAAACGATAAGCTATTTTAATCTAAATGTAAAACAACAACTTTCAGACTTTTAAAGGGTTTATCTTTCTTACATTCTCGTCCATTATTGTTATTATTGATACATTAACGGAAGATTTGAATTAATATTAAGTTTTCTCTTTATTTAATAGATAATAATAAGAAACATGACCTTGAAATATACTTTTTTATTTTTTTGTACAAACCCTATGTAAGTAAAAAATGTATGAAAAATTCGAGCTTACTTTTTAATCTATTCAACGACCGAATAATAATTAAGTATAACTTTCTTGAGCTCTTTTTCATTTATATAAATAAATACTTTATAATAAGAGATGATTTTCTCGTATTCTTTTAACACACAATTGGAACGACGATGTTATTGTATGAAATTTTAAAAACGCATCCATCTCGCGACACTCCGAGCGCGAAATATTCAGCCAAACACGAGCTTTTCGGTAAATTTTGCGACCAACGAATCTTCAGTACCGAGAAGGAAATGTAATACTACCTTAATCCTTTTTTCAATCGATGCTTATTCACGACAATAGCACACCCACGTTAATCTCATAATGCCTCGATTTATCCACCAAACTTTAAGCTTTTGACAGACAGACAAGTACACATGGTAAATACATACAATGAAGATAACGAGTGCACTCTCCAATGACCCTTATTTAAATTACTAGAAGAATATGTTATGTTAAGTAAATGTGTAGGAAGAGAAACGGCTGAACATTGGCATTATCTAATCTCCAGGCATACTCGCGATAATAAGCCAAGCTGAACCAACTAACGCGGTTCTGCGCCTCGTTTTCAGGGGGAGGCGAGGGGGACTGCAAGTTATGAAGGTCGGCCGGTGCTCGGGAAGGCGCACCAGCCCCGGATGAAGTTAGCCGGGAGCTCGAGCTATGCTGGCCGGAGATGACGGAGCTCAACCTGCCGTATGCCGCGTGCGAGGTCCTGGTCGCGCTCTGCGCGGCCCTCGGCAATGGCCTCGTCATCCTCGTGTTCGCCAAGGAGCGCAAGCTCAGGCGGCGCACCAACTACTACATCATCTCCCTTGCGACGGCGGATCTCCTTGTCGGCCTCTTCGCCATACCCTTTGCCATCCTCGCGAGTATCGGACAGCCGACGAACTTGTACGCCTGCCTCTTCACCGTCTCCGTCCTCGTCGTCCTCTGCACCATTAGTATATTCTGCCTGGTGGCCGTCTCCGTCGACCGCTACTGGGCGATACTCCATCCGATGGGCTATTCGAGGACGGTACGCACTAAGACGGCCATAGGTGAGTCTCTCTGGGCGAATTGCTAAAACTTTTATCGTCAATTCGCGATCGCGCAGCTGTTCACGTTGCCCACTTGCGCACAACCGAGCATTTCCCGGTCAGCGTCCCGGTATTTTCTCGTGATATACTGGTTCTAATGCCTTCGACGGGCATCTGTTAACTTTAAATTTAAATAACGAACGATAATAACGAAGGTGATCAATAAATAATTAGGCGTTGCTTTGAACGCGAGCCGACGTTGGCTTTGACAATGAACATCGAAAAATCTTTTCCAACTTTTAGGATATTTTTTTATTAGCCATCATAATAAGGCAATATATACATGCGGAATATACTTTTCACAAGTTGGATCATTGTAATGAAGAAAATACATAGGAAATAATTGAATAATCCGTCTTAATAATTAAGAAAACGTGAGATTAATATATAAATTAAATTTTTGCGGACTCGTCCTTTGGCCCTACACACTCGGTGGGCGTCCATCATTGATAGAGATTTTACCGACTACTTCAACGTTCATTATGCACTCGTTTTTATTTTCTTTTTGCTTTATGATACGACGTAAGTTCCTTTTAACGGGAATAATGATTCGAGAGCTCGTTTGAAAATTTATTATTCATACAGAAACATTTGGCAACTATAATCTTGAAATATAATGGTTAAGCGACAATACTAATTGCTAGCCAAATAGCATTGCTAATGCCAAATGAAAAATAAATAAATAATCGAGTCGAGTATGTTGTGCAGGATCGTATACATACGCATAGGAAGGATATTAAAATATTTTACTCTGAATTCAATGTACGTTCGCTCTTCTACGTGTAAGCGGATATCCTAACATTTTAAATATATTATACGTGCATGTATAATTTACGTTAAAAAAAAAAAACAAAAACAAAAAAAAAAAAAACAAAAAAATAACAAAGACAAGAACAAAAACAACATCAAAAAATCTTTTTAAAGTGCAAGAACTAAAAAGCGTCAACAGAATGAAGTTTATCGCTTTGGTTATATCTTGGAAACAATTGTAGTTAAATTAAATTGTAGTGAATTTCGAGGACGATAAGTTATAGAGAGATAATTTTTAATATTATCTGGTATTTTACTTAGATTTGACTTGCAAAATTTACTTGGCATAATAAACGAAAGTTTCTAGCGGATTTTAATCGTATGGTGTAGAATTAAAACTTTTGTTGAAAATATATTAAGACAATACTTGCCGAAGCTCATTTTAAGATTCTTAAAATGCTATATTCAATCGACTCTGACTTATGTATTAATATATCCGCATATTACACCCGAGGTTAAACATAATAATAAAAAAAAAAAATAAAATAATAATAATAATAATAATAATAATAATAATAATAATAATATTTTTGTCTTACAAATATCTGATTCGGTAGTTGATATTATTACGTTGGAGGTGTTTACCGAAACAATAGCATCGTTAATGCTGTAAATCATAATTTTTCTTTTTCTTATTTCTTTTTATTTTTTTTTTGTTTTGTTTTTTGTTTTTTTGCTTTTTTTGTTTTATACGCTTATTCAATAATGTTAGCTAT